AGGGGAGTGGGAGGGGTAAATAAGGGGTTTTCCTGTAAAACTAAACTGATGTGTTGGTGCGAGAAAAGGCGAGTCGAGGGGAAAGAGGCCTAGAGGAGTGAGAAATGCTCGGGTGAAACTGGTTCCCCCCCTGACAATCAAGAACAGCGCTTGTCGCTTCCTCTGCCCTTGGCTTAGCTTTTGTTACGCTCTCACTTTGAAGAAGGCGAGTGAAAAGCGGGCCTGAGAACAGTTGCAGTTATTAGGGAATTAGCTACTAATTTCGCAAACGCCATTTTTCGTGTGTCCTTTCAAGCTTTTTCACTGGATTCCACTGACTGAGTCCCTTGGAACACAAGTTTCTAGGCCCCTCAATTTTGTATGTCTCGCGTGGTAGAGACTGCCGCGGGGTGCCGTTGGATAGATAAATCTGTCAAATTCGTCAGTCAAACTCGTGTGACGGAAAACTGTTCACGCTGCTGAGATTACAAGGGCAAGCACAGGCGAAAAGCAACCGAGCGAAAAACGAACGAGAAAGGCTTCGCGTAGGTTCTCGGACTTCCCAACTTCAAAATTTTCCTTCGGTATTTGCGCCCCAGGTTTTTAGAACACCCGATCGGGTTATGCAGGAGGCATGGCACCTAAGCTACCTTTCACTAGCGATTTGTCATTTGTTTACGAGATGCGGTGAATGTCTTATAGTACAGTTTAGTGGCACGTTGTTTGAAGTTTGTTAGTGTCTTTTCTTCTTATCTTGACGACATGATATTGAAAGAGTATAGGATCTGCATGCCGATGACAGTGGAAGAGGTATGTTTTACTTCACCGTTGTAATTTTGAACGTGATGAAATGTCGATCGTCTGTAACCGAAAGGCACACGCGAGACGTAGACGTCAGTACGACACTAGGTTGATCGAGTATATCTTCTTGATCAAGTCCAGATTTGTATTTTTTAACCGAGATTTCCTGCAGTATTCTAAATACCTACCATTATGAATCTTATATTAATATAAATTCGAACTCTGACAGCATGATTTTCTCAACCTGAACGCCTTACATTGTTACGTTTGAAGATCACATCAGTAATTTCGCCGCGCAATAATTTGGGTTCACCGCAAAGAAGTGCGCAGAGAGATCGATAGTATAGCTATTTTGGTTCCTTTTTGTTTGAGAGTTTACTGTCTGCTTTACAGTCGCTAGATCTTCTCTCGAAGCTATTAAGGTTTCGATTAGAAAAGGACGGAACTACTGTACCGATAAAAGTTGATGTGTTGCGTGCGCGAGGCGGGAATGAAACAAGTCCAGAAATGGTATAAGCATTTGATGATTGTTACTGATAAATGAACTTTAGAGTTTCCCATACAGCTTAATTAAAATTGAAATGGATCCGTTGTACTATCTTTTGTGTCGAACTAAAAGCGATATTTGTGCTTATAACAGCCGAAGGGTATGGTGCTATTCGAATGAACAAGAAATATGCATGACCGATCTTTTATTCCATCTTCATTTTTGTCCTACTTGAACTTCTTAGAAAGCGACAAGGTTGATTCCGATCTGTGAATTAATGTGTCAATATCCTTTTCGAACTTTTAAGATATTAGATTAAAAACGTGAGGAATGTTTTAATTTTTAACCCTAATTTGCAAGTTCTTTTATCGCGTAAATGTATTTGATGAAAGCCTCTCCTTATCTCAAGTTTCACGTAATTTAATTTTGTTGATAAGTAATTTCCAGGATGAAAATATTATCATTTTCCGAGCAATAATATCATTTTCGATCGTTCAATTTAACACGAAATATGTTGTTTGCAATTTCGTTTCCACACCGCTTGACATCTTTTATTGAATTTTATGAAATGTTCCAAATTATTTTAGAGGACAAAACTATGTTATAATTTTATCAATTTAGTTTTTTTCTTAAAAATAAAAGGTGTTGCTTCTCTTTTAATTTACATCAATTTTCTTTCATGTTAGTCTTGGGTAGTGATTGTGTTTGATAAAGGTCTGGTATTATTTCATATATTTCTTTTTTACTTAAAAACAATACCTTTACAAGCTGGGTTTTTTTTCGTCAACACCCATTAATCACAGCAATGGAAGACTGTAACAATGAAATCTTATCAGCTAATTGTTGAGTGAAAAGAATTTCTTCACAACCATAGGCTGGTAGTTGTATCAGTTCAAATATACATGTATTGTCTACTGGTTGTTTTCCTTTAATTTTAATAACTTACAACAAAACAACTGGAACTAAAAACAAAGCAAAAGGTTTATATTCTTGTAATATTTAATTCATGCTGTATATTAGAGTTTGCTTTATTTTGATTAGGATTACTGAAGTTTGTAAACAAATCAAACAAGAGATGACAAATAATCTATTAATCCCCTCAATGTTAAATGTTAAGATGAGTTTTCAATTTAATGGCTTCTAACTTCCTTTTATTTCTTTCAGAAATCATGGAAGAATAGCAAAAAAGGTCAAAACAGTTCTAACGGTACTGTAATTGCAAAATTTACTGAAAAAAATACTTATTCATTCTCTAGATGTTAGGGACCTAACATTATTTACAGGGAGGAGGGGGGGGGGCTGGTGGAAATGAGAAATAAAGTTCTCAAAAACTTGAAGTCCCCCCTTTATTGGGGACTCACTTTTTATTGGGCCCCCCCCCCCCCTATACCAAGACATTTTATGTAAACCAAAATGAAATGTGATGAAGAATACCACCCTACCTTTTTTAAAAGTGATGCATAAGGAGATGAAAGTGACAGAGGGGAAAGCTGTGAATCTGAGGATAAAATCCTTAAAGGACTTTCAATTGTCAACCATTTGTTTAGATTGAGATTGGGTCTTTTGTTTATCAGTCTCCAATTAAAACATAAAAAGTCAATTTTGCTGGTATTGATATTGCAGAATTTTATTTGGTCCCCCCTTTTTACGTGCACACAAATTTTTGGTTCCCCCCCTTCATTTCCATCAGCCTCCCCTTCCCTGTAAATAATGTTACAGGTCCCTTATATTCATCTTGGCTGAAGTGGAAATTGTTTGCTTTTTGTAAATAACTTGCTTCAGATGTGCCACAATAGGGCTTGATTATTAATGTGATATTATTCAGAATTCCTATTCCTTTGGGTTTCAGATTCCCTTTTGCCTTGTCTGATGCTCTAATATAATTTACCAAAATATCATTAAATATTCAGCATTGTTATTCAAATAATGTCTTTGGGTGGGATAGTTTTAGAATTTTTTCTTCTTGCTATGGGGATGAAATGGTTGTACCAAATGGAGCACTGATTGGAAGCATGATTAGTAAGTAAAAAAAAAAATACTGAAAAAAAAAGAGAAAACAAAAAACTGAACATAGCATGCCTATGTGGTTAAGGCTCTCTGTAGCTTTACCCTGTCACTTCCAAGATGTCATTAATTAGTAATTCTCCTTACCGTCTGCCATACATTTCTAATGATGTTAGTTTGGAGAATTTGGTATTGGATCAACTGACAATCCCCTGATTTTCTGTTTTCCTTTTTCTCATTACTTGTCTACTTGATATTATATTGATATTGTAAGGAGAAATTTTGTCTTGCTCACTCATGGTAATTGAAGGGTTAAATAATTGATCTGCTTCCTGGTGTACCTGTGATCAAGTCTTCCTACTTCTTCTTATTGATTGCAAACAACTTCACTTCTCACCAGTTTGGATTTATGTCAATTTAAGCTGTATTTGATAGTCAGTATTTTTGAATCTTTACTAGTAGAGCACTGGAGTGGTGGTACATGTAAATAAATTAACACTTAAAAACTGTACCAATCACATTGCTTTGAGATACACCAAAAAAATCAGATTGCTCAGAGATGCACCAAATTGTGCTGATCAGATTACTAACACCAAAACACAACACTCTATATGTGAACATATTATTTTTTTGAAAAAAAAAAACTCAAAAAGCAAATATATATTTAGATGTTTACTTATTTATTGATCAAACCCAGTATCAAATAGGTCAGTTGTTCATGATAAGTAAACACAGCCATGAACAGAGTGAGCAAGGTGAAGGAGTCCATGTTGTGAGAAACGAGCCATGCGAGGACCCAAAGTATGGAAAGGGACAATTCACAGAAAAGAGGGTTTATTTGTCCAGGTACAGTTTGTGGTAGACTTAATGAACTTGGACNCCCCCCCTGGATGGAATGCTAGTCCATCGCAGGGTTACCCCCAGCATTAAATTCGCTGGTACCCATTTTATTCTCCTGGGTGAAGAGAGGCACTGTGAGAGTAAAGTGTCTTGCCCAAGAATGCAACACAATGTCGAACCTGGACCACTCGATCTAGAGTCAAGCGCACTAACCATTCAGATTCAAGCACACTAACCATGAGGCCACTGCACCTCCCGCAGTATATGGAGGATGAGGTGTGTTATATTAGAGTTCTGTAATAATGAGATTTGCCCTTGTGAAGTTACCTCTCATTGAAAAGTCATTGAAGGGCTGAGAATTGGGTGTAAATTTTGCACCAGTTTATGGAGATCATTCTTAGTAGGTACTATGTAGTTACTTATGATTCTTCTGAGGGAGACTTGGGAAAAAAGAAAAATCATCTTGGTATCGTAAACCTCCAAGTAATGTGACAAGCAAGCTGCTGGGCAGAGTGGTAGTCTGCAAAGAACTCACTCTAAGAATCTTAACCTGGGTGTGAAAAAGTTGTCAAAAATGGAGGCTGCCTGTGGAATTGTGCCCTTTGAAGAGCTTGCTCACAGCCTGCCTGATAACCTGTTTTAATTTCATTAACAATCCCTGTTTAAATTTGTCTAAAAGATGAAAGGAATGGGGTTCAGCACCAGGATGGGAGGGTTATTGTAGAGTGTTGTTGGGCAAAACAACTTACTCACAATTCTTGGGAATACTAGGGACCTTAAGCAGTCAGGACCGCAATGCCAAGGAAGACTTCGATTAAAAAATAAATTTCTACTCTTAGTCAGAATTTCAAAAATGGCTGCATGAGCTTACTGTCTGATTCGGCGCTACAGCTGAACTTCAGGATGACGTATAGAAGTAGCGTTGAGTTCCAAATGGAAATTAAATTAATTTGCTGTCGTGGTTTCGGTTTGCAGACAACGCAAATTTTGACGATTTCACATTGTTGTTTTGCATAGGATGGCTAAGAATTGTACAAAGTTTCAAAACGCACATGCTGAGCTATTGTTGTGCCAATTAGATCTCTTGTTTTTCCACGTCCTCGTTGCCATTGCAGTCATGGCTGCTTAAGGTCCCTAATGTCTTAAAACAGAATTCAGATGTAAGGGGTTGTGAGGAGGGGAGGTTTATTGTTTCTTTTTCTTTTTTTCCAGTTGTCTTCCTGGATGGATGCGGTCCTATATTCCAAAAATATTCTATGTAGAAGAAAAGGCTTGGAATTATTATCCTTTCACTATTACAGGTCAGTGGAGATTCTGAAAGTTTTTCTAAAATGTACTTAGTCTAGTTAATACCTTTACTTGCTCAGTTGTTTACTTGTTAGTGACACAAAATTTAACATGCATCAAACATTAATGTTACAAGTCAAGAATAAATGAAATGATTTCTGGCTTAAGAAGCAGGTGATCTTTTAAACAAATTATTTTGGTCAGTACCGTACTAAATTTATAGAGGACAGTATGGAGAATATATATGCATATTGATTTCAAGATATAAATGTTAATGACAGGAGTATTTTACCCAATGCACGCCTCCATTTATGTCTCAAGTTTTTTTTTTTTTTTTCAATGAAGAAAGAGATAGCTAAGGGTAATAGTTGTTTCCATGTTTAACTTCATATTTTAATTGATAATTTCTTTTTTCTTATCACTCTCCTTCACTCTTACAGTTTGAACATTACCAGTTGGCTTGAAACCAACAGAATGCTGACCTGTACTATAAATTTAAGCTTTAAGTTTTCTCTACATTTCAAGAGTGCAAGCACAGGCAATCATAAGTCTCCATTCTTCATCACTAAATTACAGACTGTGCATACTGTTTAGGGCCACTCTAAAGTACAAACAAATAAGATGGTTCTGGGCTGTTTCTAAAGACAGATTTGTCTGAAATTCAGAGACAAAGAGATCTTGTTATGCAGATTACAATCCAGAGATAAAAAATGGGGTCAACAAACTTTAAGTTTCAGCTACAGACCTATAAAGCAGTGTTGCCACGGTAACCTGAGAGTTTGTTAGAGAAATGTTCACAACTTTTCATGAAATAAAAGGGGGTAAGTTTCTAATGTAACTGTGGTGCTGCGTCTGTGGGGGAGTATAACAAGGTAGTAATTTTGGTTTAATCAACTGAGTTGATCATGCCACTGTAAAGAGTTTCAAAGCTAAAAAAGGCTGGAACTCTTTACGGTGGTCAATTTACTCTATCAACCGAGTTGATAAAACCAAAATTACCTCGTCATTAAATAGGTGGGCATCTTTGGTCCTTTAAAGACCAGTTTAAAGTTATCAGACAAAACAGAGTGGAAGCTACAATACATCAAGGAATTGATCACTGACAGTTACAAATTGTATCTCATTGCAGTGCTCCTTTCTTCCAGGATTTGCAATTAGGATTAAAACAAAATATTTCAATGATAATGGAAGTATAGACAATGTAAGTATATTCTGAAGTTAGACTTTCTTTTATTTTAGTTATTTTAAATTTTAAGTAATGAATAAATGCAAAGATTAATTTTTTAAACTGATGAGATGAAATACCCTGTCACACTGATGATGTTTAAGTTTTCACATCTCACCAAGTTTTTTGTATCTCATTTAAATTGATTTTGATGTACTGGTCAAACAGACTTACCAAATTAAAGTGCATGTGAAATAATTGTAATATTGTATTTTCACTTGAAATGTAAACAGCTATTTGCAATTAGTGCACGACATTTTTTTTCCCTTTAAATGACCAGCTGTACTTTTTTTTTTTGCAGTGTTTTGAATGAAGTGAGGAAACACTTGAAACTAGGGAAGTTATTGCAATTGATATAGCATATGATGAATTACCAGAAAAACATTATGTTCCTGAAGAGGTAAGTCATACGCTTAGTGATAAAAGTTAAACCTAAAACAAAACGAGTGCACAAAGCTCTAGAGAATAGATTGAGTAGAGTTTGAGAGATTTAATCCCTTTGCCTTTGTTTTGACGTTATACTGAATATTAAATTAAAATTAAACTTAGCCTAGTCGTGAGCATTAATTTTGCAGCATGAAATATTGGCCTCACTACAGACAAAGATGCTAACCATGAAGATCTCAAGGAATGCCTTACAACTATGACTACAATGGTGATAGATAAAAGATTTTGGAGATTTTGATCAACTTCCTCCGTTGATAGTGTTGTCAGTAATAAAATCTGGAATGTTTTCCATGTTAATTTAGGACTGTAGGTATTTCAAATCAAAGAAAACTGGTAGAGGGCCTTCAAGTTAGTATATTCAGCATTTTCCTTCAACATCACAAATCTTTTTTATTCTTCAAAGTTTGAGGTGTAAGGATCAACTGTATAATTTACATTGATGTTTAGCATCTCTAGTTGTATAAATATTTATTACACGACTCGGGCAGTCAGAGGGCCAATAACTAAAATCAACCAATCAAAATGCTCTATTGCCGGTCAATATTCTCTCAGTATTGGAGCGGGCACTGTCCCGAATGGTCCCGAATGATACCGCACTTGTGTCCCTTTGAACTTCAGTCGTATAATAAATCTCCTATTAACCAAGCTTGCTCGGGACCGTACTGGAAGAATATCGGCCCTCGGTCTTTTTTGTACAGACTGAGCGCAGCGAGGTCCGTACTGTCAAGACCTCGGACCAATATTCTCCCAGTACGGCCCTCGCCTTTGGTTAATGAGATATATAACTCACATCTTTCTCTTGAACTGTACATTCTTTACAGTAATAAGCATCAGAGACACCAGGTCCGCCACATATTACACAGCGACCTTGATATGAACCATAGTTGCATTCATCACATATTCGCACCAGTGTGCAGGGACGCACATAGGAGTCACAAATGACGCATTTACCATCACCTGTGAAACACTCAAAAACAGTGCATGAATATTGTTAGCAATCAATCCCAATGAAAACGACAAAAGGGGAAACAAACCAAAAGCCTGACTAAACCAAAAGCTAGAGGGTGAACTAATCTGCTATACAAGTGATTTTTTGTAATTATAGAGATCTGAGCTAACAAATAAAAAAAATCCGTCTCAAAACTAACTCTCAAAATTCCGCTTTGGGAGTTTTCATTTCCTCACTCGTTATGGAATAGGTTATCTCTTTCCTTTTCGTTAGCATCGACTCCCTCGCATAAAACTAAAGAATGCACGTGTTTCAGTATAAGTTTGACATTCTTTCATCGAAGTTAAGGAAATCTGCGCTCGAGTTTCAACATACTTACATTTTCTTTCAAAGAAAAGCAAAAGAAAATCTGTAAACTCTCGAAAATAGAACTGATCATGAGGCTAACGTTATTTGTCTCTAAATAGAAGGAAAATGTGAACTTTCTCTCGAACGTCAGTTACTGAAAAAAAGTTAAACGAGTCTTGCACTTACATTTTTCGCACAGCCGACCTATAGCTGAGAAATAAGCAAAAGTGGAATATAATCAGTAATCTTTATGAGAAACATTAGTTAAAAATTGCAAACAAACTTACCTACGCCAGGCTGTTTTCTGCACATAATGAGATCTGGATGATGCTTCGCCATCTTGGATCATGAAACTCCCATCATTCGTTGCAGAGCAAGAACGTTAATCAGACGTTCTCGTGTCAAGTCCCCGTCGGTTATTTAGACGTCCAAGTCATTTTGGGGGCATTTTGGGTCGATTTCTGATAACAAAATCCGATTTTGCCCGATGACGACAACAACATCGGAGACGATTCCAGAAAATGTATCAGTATGTCTGATGGGGGAAGGGGGTCCACACCTCTAAGACCCAACCTCTGGATTCGCATTGTTTGAAAAAGTGTTTTCCAAGAGAGACTCGATACGCAAGGCCAGGGAAGCTTTTTTAATTTCAAGAGGCAACACTATTTATCCAGATGACCTTAACGCTCGCGAAGAAATGTATTAGTTGCTAGTTATTTATCCAATTTACCTTACTTCATTTCTATTTTTGCTCACTATTTCTATTTTTATTATCTCATTGTCTAACAAATTAGTTTTACATATTTCCGCTGTTACATCATACAGCTATCTGTGAAGCATCACCCCAATTCTCTGTTAATTCCCACTGTACCTGAAGAAGGCTGGTTTGGCCAGCCGAAATATAGTGCTCCGTCTTAAAATTTACTTATCTACGTTGTATCGGTGTTGCCTCTATATTTATATTTCATATTCGTTATTTTGGGCCGATCAGATCATCGCTGATCCAACGCACAAGAGTAGGAGTATCGTCCACGGTTGCCTGCTGAACATTTCAAAGCTATTTAAATCGCCTATCGCTCATTGGACAACTGAACGCAAAGACGTTGAAAGTTGCCCTATTTGAAAAATAAGGACTTTGCTCAGTGTATGGTTTGCTTTGGGAAGGTTACGACAAGTACGGATACCTGATCGAAAACGAACGCATTAATTTTCGGATTTTTCTCCTCTCAAGGACTGAGGTCAGTCGGTGTAAACGTTTGTTTAGACGAGGCCTTATGAGCAACATCAACACAAGTTCAGTAACTTTATCAATAAATTGGTTTATAATTTGACAATCAAACCGAAACGTTCCATGGCTGTAGATTTCATAGTGACTGTTGTAAAGGAGACTAATTAACTTTGTGCTGAAAATTAGTTTACCGCTCGGTAGGGAGTGAAATATGGCCTGGCTACATCTTTAGATTTCACGCAAACTACGCAAAACTCGGCCGCTTGTGCAATAGAGGTGCAGCCCAAACTTAAGGTAGTCGTGAATTTGCAGCTGAACGAAAGGAGCACATTTTTGCATTTTTCGCCCACTAAGCCAAGATTGCATCGCAATCCACGTATATGTGCAGCACAAAGCTTTAACTGACCGAGACAGGTCGATATAATAACAAAACTGATCGAAAATGGAAGCATTTTTGCATATTTACCTCTTAAAGCAAAGCTCACTATTGCAGTGAGCTTTGAGCTAACCGCCTCCCGGTTAGCTCAATGGATAGAGCGCTGGACTGTTGTGCGAGAGGTCGAGGGTACGAGTCCCGGCCGGACCAACACTCAGGGTCTTAAAATAATTGAGAAGCATTTGCTGCCTTTCTATAACATCAAGAAATGGTTAGATATTCTAGTCTTCTCGGATAGGGACGAATAAATGGAGGTCCCGTCTCCTGCAGGGTTGGGGTAGGAGACGTTAATTTCCCACACACGAGATTACTGTGTGATGGATGTCCTCCCCTGGGGTGGGATGGGTGGGATAT